GTGATGAATTAATACACTAGACACATGGTTTTATTTGGACACTTTATTATGACATCGTAAAGTGATGAATAAGAACACTAAACACATGACTTTATTCGTAGGCCTAGGCCTAGAGGCTAGGTCTAGCCTAGGTATCATCGTTCGTTCGCACATACGTTTATTGAGCGTTACGTACGTATTAGGTCAAAGGTTACCACAAATTTAACCCAACCTCTATTTTACGAATCCCCCGATTTACGTACGCCCTCTAGTCCCGTACCATACGTAAAATTGAGGTTCTACTGTAATAGGAGGGTTAATAAACAAGAATGCAAATACAAGACAACAAATAGAAAACTGGATGAAACATCAAGGAAAAAAGATCAAAAATGATCAATTACAGTACACTTAAAACTTTATGCCTAAACTGATTAAACAAGTATGAAAATATATCAAGATTATTATCTTGAACTAAAAGGGAATTATATAATTTACTTAATCTACAAAATAAACCATTTAGGATGGCATTAACCCTCCCAAAAAGAACATAAAATGTGGGTTTTAAATGGGAGTAACTGTAATTGTAATTTTTATTCACCATAGAAATTTAAATTATTTTTACGTATATGGTATCAGAAGGTGCATAAATCATTGGTGCAGTAGTGTGACACAGGGGCGGATCCGGTGTAGGGGTACACGGGGAGGCACGTGCCCCCCTCGTCTTGCCACTTAATTTTAAAATGTCGGTGCTATTTATGTTATGTGCTACTCACTTATCTATTCTGAAGCTGTTGTTCCCCCACCCTGCCGTTTGAAAAATGTTGGATCCCCCAGCCCCTGTGACAAGACTATCAACAGCACAGTAATAGACATCATACCAATTTTCTCCACTATTCAACCATTCGTCTATAGTTTAAAACCCCCCTTTTTTTAAAAAACTTAGCATGTGAAAAGAATAACAATGACTAAACATTATTTTTATGAACGTAGGTATGTTTAATTGTAAATTGTTAACCTTATAAATCAATTAAATACGATTTTTTTATACAAATTATTGTATACTGTATATAAATTATAAATATAAATTATTATACATAAATTATTTTTAATTAGTCTCATTGAATAGATATTATTATTATTATTATTAAATATTATTATTGTTATTGTTGTTGTTGAAAAGTTAACACAAACAATATGGTGGCTAAACGAATATTACATGTAAATATTTTTTTTAAATTTGTTTGTTCCCCGTCAAAACTTGTCGTATTCCCCGACAAGGGTAGGGCTATAGCCCCAGCCCTCCCTCTGGCGCCACCACTGCTATAGGCTTCCCCCCGGACCCCACCCGGGCTTTTCCCCTGGCTCCAGTGGCGTATCTAGAAGTCTTGAAATGGGGGCACTGATTGGGGGAGCGAAGGTGGAGTATGATCAGTTGAGGGACACTAACTCGCAAAATAAGGTGATTTTTAACTACTTGCAATTGCTTTTTTTTTAATTTTTGGAGGGGCGCCCCCCCCCCCCCCAGCACCCCTAGATACGCCTGAGCCTCGGCCGAATGCAAATTGTTAGCTCAAAATAGGAATTTTTAAAGTAATTTGTACATAACTTGCACAGGCTGTTGTTCGCACAAGTAAATCTATGCTCCGCTCAAACTAGCATCCAGTCGAATAAATTCTGCTCGAACTAGCATTCGCTCGAAGTGACATCTGCTCGAATTGACTGGTTTCCCTATATTTTTCCATATCTCTTGAAGTAAACACAAAGGCACCATATAAGACTCCCCTTTTTTTTACCCCTATCTTGACCTTGACAAGCACCCTCAAACGAATGTGCTCTTAGCTATCTATAGACCACGTCGGTGATAGGCTAGACTTGCTGAGACCAAAAATATTTTCTCAATGTTTCTCTAACCCATATGAATGGAGAGGATATTCAGCCTCAACTGCTTACCCATTGTCAATGGATTTGCACTTGATCCATTTATTAAAGCATTTTACCCAAAAAGTACAATGCAAGGAGCAGGATAAAATCACAACAATTAAACCTAGGCCTATATTTTATAGGTAGAGTATTAAGATTTTTTTTCTTTCATATGCTAGATGTTCAATAGTGGTCAAGTTAAAAGACGAAATTTTAGAATTTTAAACTTTAGCGTGTGTGTGTCATCTTGGGACATTGAATTATCATCCTGCTGTTGTTTACAATCATCCCAGTGTCCTTTCCATTTTTAAACAGTATAGTATATTACCCTATTCAGCCTACACTCTGTTGCGATCGGTTGCGATGTCAATGGTGGTAATTGGTGGTAATCTAAAACTGATTACTCCCAATCGCAATCAACAAGTGTATTCAGACCAACACAAAAAAAAACTTAAATACATTCTAGGGCCTAGGCCTCCGGAGGCTAGGCCTATGTTGACTGACCTTAGCCAAACAGTGCCTGTGGAATTCGTTTGTGATTCATTGCGATCGGATTCTGTGGTAATCGGGAGTAAATAAGATTGTGGCGCCTAATAGCAGTGGGTAACAATTGCGATATCAATTAATTATCAACTATTATTGTTGAGCTTTCACACACAATTTTACTTTGTGATAAGGTGTTGCAATTGCTACAACCGACCAATGCTAGTCTGAATGGGGTATTACCTGGAAATGCAAATACAATGCCTTCTATGCATGCTTTTTCTTTCCTAGGCTGTAGCAAAGCCAAAATGCTCTACTCAAAATACTTCTTGGTAAAATTTAGAGATCGGAGAATTATTGAGGAAAAGAAGCCAAGACTTTTATCTATATAAATTTGAAAAGTGTTTTAATTTTAATAAAGTGGTAGTGAATTTTGGAAATTTTCCTTAATTTAAATTAATTTTTTTTTTTTCAGAAAAACCTGTTAAAAAAGATAAATTTGTTCATTTTAACTACAAAGATGCCTTGGATTTAGATTGCAACTTAACAGAGGAGGAAATCATGGTGCGAGATCAGTTCCGAGAATACTGTCAAGAAAAGTTAATGCCTCGAGTGCTAATGGCCAACAGAAACGAAAGTATTTAATACTCATACACTTTGTTTATTCACATTATTACTAAGTGTTAAGCCTCAATCGCACTGGATTAAATTTTGGGAATATGTAACTGTCATCACGGTAAATATTTCTATGGTAAATGTTACCGTCAATCGCACTTGGACTTTTCAACTCTGTTAGTTTTCCCGAGTTAGTGTAAAATTAACTATTGAGGGCGGTACATTTTGACCCGTAACATGACCCGTACTGATCTGTTTCTGTTCCTTCGACTGACTAGGCCAACATCATGAGAGCCTAGAATTTCTCCTTCCGATATTTCAGGCCTAGCGAGGCCTAAAAAAGTCAAGAAAAAGGTCATTCCATGCCATACTACTATTTAAGGGAAAGTAACACGTTAGAAAGTAATGGTTTGTGATCAACTAGTCGAATATTCGTATGATCAATACAGCACAGTAGTATAAAATTTGCGTGAAAATCGAAATGTACACATCAATAAACAAAAACAATGAGAAGAAGCAGGTCAACTAATTATAGGCATGCGCCAGTGCTTCACAGAGCGATAAAGGTACCCAATGAACAATGAGGCTCGGGATTCGGTTAATTTAACCGACCGTGGCTGTTCGCATTGGATTTTCCAGGCTGGTCAAATAGCTCGATAGGAATTACTGAGTAAATTTCACTCCCGAAAACTCACCGGCGGCGACAGTCAAGTTAACCGAGCGGGACTATCCGCACTGGATTTTTTCGGTCACACTTACCGACAAGACGGTTACTTTTACTGAAATAAATCCAGTGCGATTGAGGCTTTAGAGATATACAATACTCCTACCACCCCTACATTTCTCCTGCCCCCTCTAAAACATTTAAATACTAGTTTTAATTTCTCATTTATATCAAACATAATATGTCACAAATTTCAACAATTTACATTAGTCATTTTACAACAAAACTCCATCTTCCAGCTTCTGCCTTGTACCCCTATTCATTTGAACCGTAGAGATATTTTCTTATACCACCATAGTACCATAGTAATTGTTATTTTTAAATTTTGTTTTATGTTTTTTTAAGGCTTAGATTACATCATTAAAATTTGTTGATGTTATGGGTTGTATCCTGGCTCGCTATTTTCTTTCCTGTAGATGTGTATAAGAGACAGGTGTGTGTGTGTATGTGATAGGTACAGTATCTAGTTTACAGTTGGCAGTTGGCAATGGATACCTGAATTTGATTGCATTAAAATAAAAAATACATAAAAATAAAATTTTGTAAAATAAAAAAAAGACATTAAAATTTATTATTGTGAAGTATATACTAATGCAGTTACAGTATACCAACAAAATAGAAAATTACAATTAAAGCTTAACAATTATTAAAAATATTATTTGTAACTAAATCATAAAACCAAAAAAAAACCAAAAAAAACCTAATAACCAAAAATACAATTTGCATATATAATTAATAAAATATAAACATCATAAATATATTTATTATTACTAAAATTATCCCTTAATATGATATTATAGTTAGTCTGTTGAAATCACTATTAATTTTTTTTGAGTGAAATTTATTTCAGATAATTTATTTTACACTGTTCATTTAAAAAATTACCAAATTATAAAAATTGTATATATAATTAATATAATACAAACATCATAAATATTTTTATTAACTAAAATTATCCCTCAAAATATTATTATTGTTTATCTGTTGAAATCACTTTTATTTTTGTTAATAGAGGGAAAATTATCGCAGATAAAGTAGTAGAATACAATACTTATTCCAACTATGCAGTTTCCTTTTCTTTTAATAATTAATATTAATTCAAAATATATATTTCTTAAACTTTCCCTTTCTGTGTTTTACTCAACCAACAACACAAAGTCATGAATCAATGATGTTGTTATTATAGCAACAGGAGAGCTGATTGGTTGTTTTGGGCTGACAGAACCCAACCATGGAAGTGATCCATCGGGAATGGAGACGAGAGCACGCTACAATCCATCAACGAAAACATTTATTCTAAATGGATCAAAAACATGGTAAATATGAAACAAAATTACTATCATTAACAATTAATATGTCAGATTTGTATTTTTTATAAATAAAAATCCTAAAAAAATTTGCAAAGGGCTAAAGCAAGGGTATTTGTCTCTACCTATTATTTTTTTTTTACGTACTAATGAATTTGTTAAGGCAAGTCAGGTATTAAAATAAATGGTATTTTAGATGAAAGGGCTTTGTTTTTGGTGTTAGTTTGATATCTAATATTGACAATAAAAAAGAAATAACAAAAGTGTTGGAAATTAATGATAGGTACACAGTTCATGACTATTGTGTAGAGATTGGACTTATATATAATCATGCATGTTTATTCATTATCAAGATATAGGTTTTTGCACCCCTACCGTATGTGGAAATGGTGAAGTTGAATATGTCATGGTGTTTCTTATTAAATTGTAAATCTCATGATATTATCAGCAAGGAAGAGTTAATAAATTGAGAAGATGACCTTGCGCTTTGTGATGGTTTTGACATGTGACCCTTTTCATTTAGTTCAAACACATTGCAGTTTACCTTGGGAGGAGATTTGTCTCAGTTTGTGATGAACATTGATTCTGTTTCTGTATTTGTGAATTTTTGTATAAGATACAGTCATAAGCATCAATACTAAGCATCAATCTCTAAATATACAAATTTAAAAATAATTTGTTGTTGCTTGTATTTTTATTTGTTAAAAAAATTTGTGTATGTTTAAGTAATTATTTAGTAGACATTAATGGACAGTGTCTCTTCAATTACAGTATGTCTTTTATTTTTTAAAATTTTTATTGTATGCAATGGTGCGGATAGGATAGTATAATACATACTCCAAGTATCGAAATGCACGCCATCGTGCCGGGATTCAATATTTTGACATTAATTATGTCATCATCAGGAATGATTATTATATCTGATATAGGTGCTGATAGCTGCACAGAGTCCCAGGTTATTGTTATCAAGGCCTGCCTTTTTCCCACCTGAGGCTGGCTGCTATTGTGCCTGGTACAGTTCTATCAAGCTGCTATTTAAGGCCAGTCATGTTCAAGGTCGAGCTATCTGCTGCTTCCACTATTAAGCCCAGCTGCTTCAACAGCCACTATCAAGTGGGCCACCGTGTGTTGAGACTGGCTGAAAAAATTACCTCTTAATTATATATACATTTTTTTTTTAATGTATGGCCTCTCAAATCAATTAAATAACACCTGTAAATGCATAGAATGCTGGACCCCCACTGGGGTTTTGGCCCTGGACCCCCGGGGGCCCTTGGCGGCCCCCCTGGCCCCAGCCAATGGTGCTCGCAAGTGCCCTTTCAGTATGAAAAAGAACCCCCTACCAAAATCCTGGCTATGGGCTTGGTTTATGTGTCTAGGTTGTGTCTTTGTTGAGTCTGGCTCTGCTAGTCTAGGCAGTGTCTGTGTGTCTAGGCTGACTTTAGGCTGTTCTACAGTTTTTTGTATGTGCCTAGGCTTTGTCTGTGTATATGACTAGGCTGGTCACTATAGTATAGGTTATGTGTATCTAGGCTGTGTGATGTGTATCTAGGCTGTGTCACGTGTATCTAGGCATGCAATGTGTATCTAGGCTGTGTGATGTATATCTAGGCTGTGTGATGTATATCTAGGCTGTGTCCTGTGTATCCAGGCTATGTCATGTGTATCTAGGCTGTTTCTGTGTATCTTGGCTGTGCCACATGTATCTACGCTGTGTCATGTTTATCTACTGTAGTCTATGTCATGTGTGTCTAGGCTGTGTCACATGTGTCTAGGCTGTGCCACATGTATCTAGGCTGTGTCATGTTTACAGTAGGCTGTGTCATCTGTATCTATTCTATGTCATGTGTATCTAAGCTGTGGTGTGTGTATCTAGGCTATGTCATGTATATCTAGGCTGTGTCATATTTATCTAGGCTGAGCCTGTGTATCTAGTCTGTGCCACATGTATCTAGGCTGTGTCATGTGTACCTAGGTTGTATCCTGGCTCGCTATTTTCTTTCCTGTTTGTTTCTCAGTTTCTTGTGTGCTTTCTCTTTTGATGTCAACTTTTGCTTAATTCATCCTCATCCTGTTCGGATGTGACTCAACGTTGTGTTTCTTGTTTAAAAGTATTTCTTTCTGCACACTGATCAACACTCTATTACTTGGTAATAAATTTAATTGGGTTTGTTGTGTCAAGGTTATTCCTAGAATTTTATATATTATTATTTTTGGCTTCAATTCATAAAGGGCTTATTACAATTATTTGATAGTGTAAATTATGTTTTTATTTTATTTGTGTTTAGAGCTGCTCTATATTTTATCAACATACTGCTGATCGAAGGCTTTACCAAAATTACTGAAGTTGTCCCTTAATTGTGCCTTTCCTATGCCAATTGCATTAATAATAATAATAATAATAATAATAATAATAATAATAATAATAATAATGATGGTAGATTTATACAGCACATATTGTTAAGCCCTCTATGCGCTTCACATTATCATTACTCCGGTCGTTGGATTAAACACCTATGGAACACAAACTCAAGCTCCCTGGGGGAGTATTTCATAATGTTGCAGCAGCTACATCAGCGCATTTTGGCATTTAACCCTACCAGGTACCAACTTATATTCCAGGGTGGAGAGAAGCAATACAGGTAAAGTGCCCCGCCCAAAGACAACACAGTGAGGGATTTAAAAACCCTGACATCGAGGTTGGGAAACCAAACCATTCCTGCTGGCCAAACTGCATTACTTGCAGTAGTGGATGCAGAAATTAAAAGTGGAAGTGATGGGGGTGGAGGAGGGGGCATGGAGGGAATCTTGCAGATGGAGGGTCCAGTATATGATACATAATATGAGTGTATATATTAATCTAGTATAATATGTTATAATAATAAAAATGTATGTAAACATTTTAAAAGGGAAAGTAATAAAAATGATAGCAGATTATAATAAAACTTTCATTACAGGATTACTAACTCACCAATTGCAGATGTCTTCATTGTCTGGGCAAAGAATGAAGATGAGGGGGGAGCACTACGTGGATTCATCCTAGAAAAAGGCATGAAAGGGCTGAAGGCACCAAAGATTGAGGGCAAGTTCTCACTGAGGGCATCAGTCACTGGCCAAATTGTAATGGAAGACGTTGAAGTGCCTGAGGAATACATGTTGCCAGATGCCAAAGGCTTAGGGGTGAGTCCTCATTTAATTAACATGACATTTGGGCATGTTTCATACATTACAATACAAATATGACTTAAAAACCTTTTGCTTTATAATTCTTACTGTTAAGTTTTGGATATCTGCATGGTATTTTTTCATATCACGGAAGAAATAAATTGTGGTCACACTTGTATTTTAACTAAAATAATTTTTTTTCTTTGTAGAGTACTTTATTTTTACCTTTTATTTCTTAAACTAATACCTTGTTCAGACCACATTTGCTGTATTGACCAAAGTTCAGCCTACTACTAACTACCAACTTTTGATCTGGAGGCTATTGTGAATGGGTTGTGTCTGAAAACACTAGACAGATGCTATTTATAATCAGTGGTGGCTCTAGAAATTTTTTGACAGCGTCCCAGAATAAAAATCCCTGGTAAAGGTCATGGGAAGAGTTTTTATGGCCTGGTGTTCACCTAAAAATGTGTTTTTAGGTCACAATATTAAGGTTTGGCAATCATAATTAGTTTATTTTGATAGTCAAATTAATATTTGCTCTTATACAATACTCTTTCTGACCTGCTGTTCCCCTCCCCCAACTGGTGCCACCACTGTTTGTAATGAACTTACTTTATTACTCTTGATCACTTTCATGTACCACCAATCACATCACAGTAAAAGCATAGTTTGAATAGATATTATTTATTTTTTAACCATTCATTGTTGTTAAAACAGCCAAATGGTCGAGCGGTTAAGGCAGGGGCACCGTGATCATAGCCAACAATGTCAGCACGGGTTCGCGGCCGGCTCGCTCCTATAGTTCTGGTGGTGGAACAAGTCCTCACGGATAAGAACTATAAACCGTAGGCCTTGCCCAGCGTAGGGGGTTACCCCGGTGTACTGGTTCACTCGGCCCCTGTCGTGAACAGATGAAAGTGCGCCGGTTTATTGGCTGCAAATGACATGAAGTGACCCTCAGGGGAGGAGAAAGTTGTTAAAAATGTGAAACATCTAGTCCCGCGCACAGAGAGACCTCGTTTTATTTGCGCTATATAAATCCATCTATTATTATTATTATTATTATTATTATTATTATGTTATTACTATATTAGGGCCCATTTGGCTGTCTGAATAATGCAAGGTATGGTATAGCATGGGGTGCATTAGGAGCTGCAGAATTCTGCCTGGAAGCTGCTCGGCAGTACACCTTGGACAGGTAAGCCAACAATGCCATTTGCCTAAAACCCCCTTGCAGTGCCTCTTGCAGTGTCTGAAGCCAATTGTTGAGTACAGTTGACCCTCCAATTACAGACCTCTTTAATTAATTAGACCCCTCTAATAAAGAACTGCTTTTTCAAAGTACAAACTAAATTTGTTCAACACAAAGCTCACCATTTACAGTAACATTTCCCAATTACAAACCTCCCGATTTTAAAAATCTTAAAAAAAATTGTGTAAAATGTTACATCAGCCAAGAAGCGTTTAAACCCATAAATTGATATAAAATCTCCTTTAAAGCAAGAAACGTCGATGGTTTTCAGCCGAGATATATTCCATTTAGAGCTGTGCATTCAGTTCAGGGCCGGAGCTACTAAAAAATAGGAATAGAGAATATCACTTTTTGTTCATTTTGGGGTGCTATTCTTAATAGCTAAAACTAGCGTGGTAAACTAGTTCACGATCGTTGTGAAGAGAATAATAACAGTTGTTTTTACTATTAATTTTCATGTTTTCATTCGGAAATCAGTTTAAATGAACACACACAGTACAGTTATTTTTTCACTTCTGTATAATAGTATTTGTTGTTAATTTTGCTCGCAAGACAAGGCTTAGATCTTAGCCTACCCTTGTAGCAGTTTCATACCACTATTATCAAACATGGTGTGTGTCTTTTTTTTCGCATTCATCTGTCTGATCATGGACCTATTAATAGGTCCATATGGTCTGATGTACAACTGTGTCCTTGCTGAGCATGAGGACATCTCATGCTTGCTCCAGTGTCCTAGTTATTAAGGCATCAGGATATTAAATCAACCAGGAGAACTTTGTTTGAACCCCAGATGGGACTTGTTATTTACTACATCCATAAATAGAAAGTTGAGTAAGTACTGTATCAACCAAATTAGCAATAAATGGTAGGCATACATAATTTTATAAAACTTATTTAAAAGATCCTAATTTTTAAAGACATTTCTTTTTTTTTTAACATAGGAGTGTTATGGAAATATTACATATTTTTTTATCCATAGAAATTAATATTTTTAATATACTTGCATGTAAGCATCCATTTATAATTTTTTTGTTTAGTGTTAAGCAATTCAATTCAATAAAAATTGGAAGAATAAAAAACCCATTTCCAATTTTTAACCATGATCATCATCCTTTTTTTTGTGATTTTTCTTTATTGTGAATTATAAATAAAAAATGTCTAGACTCACCCAATGTTGTGTGTGTTCACAACACACTTATTCAAGGTAAACAAAAATGATCAAAAATATACTTTTGAAGGTGATCAATTTCTTCAACATAATCCTTAAATTTTGATAAATAAACCAATTGTATTCTATAATAATTTATACTAAATTTGTTTAAATAGTGCATTTTACTATATCAGATTTATAGAAATTTATAGAAGTTGCTAGAGCAGGAACTCTATAAGAGTGCATACCTCTGCTCCACTTTATTAATGTGATTTTTCACTACTAGTTATGAAGTAATGCAAAATAACTTGTTTCATAGACAATAACATTAATTGGCAATAAATAATCTATATTGAAATGATACATTGTTCATTGCAGACACCAGTTTGGGGTGCCCCTTGCTCGAAATCAACTCATACAAAAGAAGTTGGCTGACATGTTAACAGAAATCTCAATAGGTCTGCAGTCATGTTTACAAGTTGGACGTCTCAAGGACCAGGGAATGTAAGTTTTATTTCATTTCTTTAGGAATGAGCACCAATGATATGCCAATCAGCGAACTTAATCACTATCCTACGTGGCATATCCATTAAACAACAGGGGACTGAATGGACTAGTACACCAGGGTAACCCCCTACTCTTCTCAAAGGATGTACTGGGTTCTTCAAAGTGCACACGAGCCAAATGCGTTCACTGGGCCTACGGTTGAAAGATCTTATCCGAGTAGACTTGTTCCACCACTGGAACCATTGGCGAGTGAGCTGTTCGAACCAGCGCTGATATTATAGCTGAAGGTTACGGTGCCCATGACTTAACCACTTTTCCAGTCAACTAGCTCATCATAAGTCATACGTATTACCAAACAAGACCACGTAATTTGAAAGAATATCATATGTGAGGTGTCTTGACAAAATGAGTCATGCCGTATGCTAGTTCAATTTGAGATATTCCAGAAAATATATACAAGGTTATATTTTTGACAACAATTAAGTGTCAATGATTTTGATAACTTTAAATATATGTTTTATAGTAAAGAAAGTTGACGTACTATAGGTAAAGGTGTTTTTGGCACAGCTTGTAAAGCTATTTTTTAGAATTGATAGGAAAACCAACACAAAATTTGTCAGTTGTTTATCTTTAGGTGTTTTCAGGCATCTAAACTTAAAAATGATCCAGTTGTACACTTTAGTTGTACTCTACCTAGCAACCTGAGTCAAAGACCAAAATAAAGCTTATATACAGTAGTCATCTATCTAAATATATCAGTAAATTATTTTGTCATGACAGCCAAAACAAAATCACTATAAGATATTTAAGATGGCTAAAACTGAAACTTCCAGGGGAATAGCCCCCTGGACTCCCAGTGTAGGTAAAGGAAGACCCTAAACCATTCCTCACAAACCACAGATCCTCACCCACCCCTCCCCCTTTTTGGACCTTGATTGCCACTGCCCCAGCCAACAATTTTGGGATCTGGCACTTTTTAAAAAATCAGTGGATTGCTGCATCTTTGCTGTTCTGTGAGTGCAGTTGTAGCTTGGTTTCAATGGCAAGTCCTAAACACCATATTAGTTACACTAGTCACTGGTGAGAAAAAGAATGGATAATGATATGACACTGCAATTGCCACCTCCTCCACCTTCTCCTCCTGCCATTAGGACGTTGAAATAATTGAACTATAAAAAATATGCAACTTCACTTTTAATGAACTGCTAATTAGATTAAACACTTACGGAACACCTATATATATATTTCTGGAGAATTGCATAATGTAGCAAGTTGTAATTTGTACTGTGTAACTCTTTCACTAACATGACAAGCATTGAAGTAACAGACACGAAGGAAATAGTAAAGCTTTTTATGAGGTCCCAGTATAACCTGTACATACAATCAATCTTTAAAAAAAAAACCATTACAAAAAAATTTGACATTACAAGAAACCCCATTGATTCAGTGAAAATAGAAGCCTAATTTGTAAGATAATAATTCAACATTGGCATTTAAAGAGAAGCAGGAACAATATCGTAAGCAAAAGTTTATTGCTAAAAATTTGTGTTTTCAGGATTGCTCCTGAAATGATTTCAATGATCAAGAGGAATTCGTGCGGCAAGTCTCTGGATATTGCTAGGATGGCACGGGATATGCTGGGAGGTAATGGAATATCGGATGAGTACCATGTGATAAGGCATGTCATGAATTTAGAATCTGTTAATACATATGAAGGTAAGAATCTGATTAATTAAATAAATAAAAAATTATATATAGTTCACCCCAGGTATACAGCTCAAGATTTTACCATTCTAAATACACAAGCAGTGACTATGATATTGAAGAAAGTAGTTGTGTAGCCATCTCTGTTTTAACCAGCATGCCACAAACATTTCGGACTGGGTCTTGTAAACATATCAGGTATTTAACGTCCAACGTATGGTATCACATGAAACATTCAAAATCCTAGTTCAGTCAGATGGAATGATAATTAGGCCATTTCTGGATGTAGTTATCGTAGGAAAGCCAATCAAGTACCATATTAAAATTTATGATGTGATCTACCCAAATACAATATAAACTAAATTTTTTATTTTCTAACCATGAGACTCATTTTGAGATGAGACCTCACAAATGGACACAAGTCCATCACAATGCTTCCTATGCTAACTAAGCTGTGGGGTTCAAGCCTGTTTTGGAGGGGGCATGCACTCCTCTTACGCTCTTCCCCCAGATGTGTCACTGCTAGAATGATAGAATACACTCTACGCTTCACCAGGAGGTGCGACTAAACTAAACCGTGTGGGAATCTCACCTCAAAATATTCCAAGATTTTTTGTGTGGTTTTATTTTGAGGCTTTAATGTTAAGCGCCAATCAATTTAGTACCTTAATCTGATTTATTCTTCATTTAGGTACCCATGATATTCATGCTCTGATCTTAGGACGTGCCATCACTGGTCTACAGTCGTTTACTGTCAACAAGTGAAACAGACAGCACTTGATGTAGAAAAAGTACAGGGTAAACAGATATGTTCAATTTGATGTAAACAGTATTATGTTATAGTGATAAACAATAAATATTTTTGCTGATAATTGTCGACTATTGTGTAGTACTGAAATTTCAACATGGCAGGTTTTGATAGATATGCTGTGCTTAATTTAATACTGTATAAAGTTATATAAAATTGATATGTCTATATTTCTATCTTCATATCTCTAGACATAGATCTTCATCTTATCGTTGTCCAAAAACATGCTAGATACTTTGTTTCAGCCAGAGCATCATTCATTGTACTCTGCCAGTGATCCAAGTAAATGATCATGTGTTTGGGTGTTTGAATTAGTGTTGTCCATGGGTGTTACGAGGACACTTCTACCATGAACCCAATAGACATAGATGGTAATCAGAAGACATGAGCAGTGATAAAATATTAATGTATTTTTTTATTATTTAAATTAGGAGGAAAAAAAATCAATGAAATGTTTAAATTATACCATTCATGTAGTTATTAAAATATCATTGAATAATAAATTTTAATGAAGATAAATAATTTATGTGATTAATTTAATTCCTTGTTTTGTTTTAATTTTAAATGCTTGATTTTACTGTTGGACAATAATGTATTTGGTTCCTATAGCAGCATAGGAAGCATTGTGATGGACTTGTGTACATATGTGTGTGTGTGCATGTGAGGGTGGGGGGTTTTGAACACAAGCAAACTTTAAACCTGTACACATGTTGGTTCTGAATTTTGGTATTTTTAATCCATGTCATTGACACCTATGTTTGTAATTAAAGGAGAATGGGATAAATCACCCCCTCCTCAACCTTTAAATGCTGTCATTCATTTTGTAAACTCATGTAAGTACATAGAATATTGGGTATCATCTACAGTGTGTCCCTCACTGGGGTTCCAGACAAAGAGACTGACTGGAGGATTGTGTGGATCATCCGTAATACTCAAATTTACTACTGTAATGAAATACTATAATATTAGTAGGCCTTTGAATGAACGCAATTTTAAATACAGGTGGTTCTTTAAATTCTAATGGGAGTCATTTGTAGGGTACTGTAAGTTTCCATGCCATATTTCGTTTTTCGTATCCAATTAGATTCTTTTTCTTTCCTTTTAAATCATGTTTCTACACTTTAATTAATGTTTGGTAATGTAGATTTTGTTATTATTTCTGTGAGCTCTAATCACCAATTAGGTATAGCAGAATCTCAAATTAGAGGTTCATTCATTCATTCATTTTATTTTAGCATTTCAACACAAAGGTTGTTTTACAAATGTTCGTGTATACCCAAAAGACAAATATAATATAATGTATAATAGAATTATATAAAGTATAAAAATAATAATAATAGAATAATAATTAAATATAAGAATAACATTACAAACTTTTTTTTTTTCCTCGAATTGAGGTTATGGTTGATCTGGTACAGTACATGTGAGTGGAATTGTTCTGTACATAATTTTTGTTTGTATATTGTGGTTTGAAAATGGTCTTCCTATTTAAGCACATCAAAATATTTACCCTAAGGACTGGAAAATTTAAATTACAGTAGAAGAACCCCCCTCCCCCTTCCTCTGGGACACCCCTATTCAGCTATGATTAAAAAAAATTAAAATATATATAACACTATCCAACCCCTATTTAAGGGGACACCTGTCATTTGGGTCCCGGAAGTGTCCCCTTAATAGGTGTTTGTACTCAGTATGAAGAGGTACCCAACCAGTGACAATCAAAGATACTAAATATTTGATGATAATGGTGAAACTTACGGAATGTTCAGAAGATAAATTTGTTTTTATTGTTGGTTTGGTAAAGGCCTTGTATCACAGTGCCATTCAATAGATGAATTATGAATTTTTGCTACAGTGTTAGCTAAGGCGAGACTTTATTTGTACATTGTTTAGCCAACCAGCCGCCCGCCAATAATGATGATTTCAAATAAAAATGAAATTTTATTTTTGACAAATTGGCACACCTGCCGCTACAAAAAAATAAAAATAAAAAAAATTTCAGAAAAAAAGAAAAGTTTTTTTTTCCATTTTTATTACGACCACTGCTGCGTTGAAATCTCTAAAAATAAGATATGTATATTTGTTCCTAATTTAATTATATAAATTGAAAGCATTTAACCATCGTACTACACTTTTTTATTATTATTTTGCTAAATTTAAAAAAAAAAATTTCATTTGTTTTGCCCTTCTCTGACGATCTTTAAAATAAATTTGCCTAATAGCTGATGTGTTGGTACATAACCATTGATAATGGAAATGCTTAAGAGCAGTTGTCTGTAAAAATCAAAGAAATTTCAAAAGTAGTGGCGGACTCAAAAAAATGGATTTCTTTCAAATTTTGCACATGGTTATACCTTTGTTAAGAGAAATCAAATATGAAGTTTTATTTACTTTGTGCGTATATTTCCATGGCAACGGGTAAATTTGTATTTTTGGCAATTTTTGTCATTTTTGGCTGTTTTTAAATGTTAATATTAGTAATAACTTGATACAATATTTCTGATATCCTTATGGTTTATTCATAAAAAATAATGAGTGTATGTATAAGGTATTGGGTATCTGTTGCATATTTTAAATGTTTTTTTGGATTTTGTAGTTGGGAAATACCATGTTTTTAAACAGGGGTGTTTTTCTTTTTTTTTCAAATTATGAAAAATGTCCAAACTTTAATTGCTCATAAACCTTTTTAAAACTGGTTTTCTACAAATAGGTAGTTCTAATGCTCCCTTAGAGAATTCCAGTTTAAAAAATGTGGGTAATTAAAAAACGTACGAGCAGTGTTGCCAGAAATACTGGCATTTTTCATTTAAAAAAATATAATAGTAAAAGTTTTTTCCGCTGATTTATTCATAGATTCCTTTGATCACAACAATAATAAATGTTTTTCTATACTTTAAGTAATGTTGTGATAAAAATAAATAAATGTTTGTGGTATCAATGCTGTCATTTTTCTGTTTTAGCGGTATTTTAAACCCTTTTAAAGTGAGTTTATAATAATTTCACTTTTATACATACCAATTTCTGTCAGTGGTGTCACCAGTTGGACACAGCACCTTAACCTGCATGGGAATGCCAGTCCCTGAATAACACCCTCTCCTTCCTAACCAAACACCCCTACCCCTTCTTGTCGGGACAAGTCAGGAATTATCGTGAAAAAATATAAACCGAATATGTGGTCGTGGTAAGGGTGGTGCCAGGATTCGCCCGACAAGAAGCCTTATGTCCCAGATGGTGATCCGATTACAGCATTCAGAGAATCTCGAGAAGATTTTTTGGAAAATAAATATCTTGGCACATTTTGTTGCATTGCGGTGTTCCAAACACAAGCACAGAACAGCGATAATGAAAGATGTAGTTTCATGGCTAAAGAGTGTGCTTCCTAAGCTTACATCTGTATATTTAAGACACACAATGCTGGCTGCTACCACTGTACAACAACACTACTTGCAACAAAAGAAATTGCTGAAAAGACGAGGGTAAATGTGAAAATTTATGCAAACGAAGTTCATGTCATTGAATATGGTTTTAAAATGAAACACTGGCTTTAGAATCAGATAGACAGTAAAACGTTGTTCCATACCTTCTCAAATGTTGCAACACATTAAGAACTGCAAGTGGAATGGTATTAAAGCCTCCTTAATAATTTTGAATTTACAACTACAGGCATGGGCGGATCAAGAGATGTCCAAAAAGTGGGGGGGGCGTAAGTTGGGCTGATCGAGACAACACAGTCATAGGGGGTCCGGGGCATGCCCCCGCAAAATTTTTGTGTTCTAGACGCCCAAAAATACCATTTGAGGTGTCTGGACTATAATTTTTTTCTTTTCTTTGTTTTTTTTTCTTTCTTTTAACTTCCAAAAGGAGGGGCGGGGCCGGGCCGACCCCATCCCCTTAAATCCGCCCATGACAGGAGTTTGAGTATGGAGGGCATATGATATTTGACCTGGTTCAGAAAGTGGAAAACAAATTTCAAAGATACAATAGTGTCTTTTGGTGTGCATGAACCACCAAAATACAATGGAATTTTTAAAGAAATCATCACTGCGAAGATGTCTGATCAACATCTACCAGTCTGTGCACAAGGCCAACTTTGTAATGAAGGATACGTTTAATAATCATTTGTTTTTCTGTCCGGAAGATGGATTTATAAAGTCCTTACATAAGCTTCTGTACACTAGAAAATCAGATAGTTACAGGAACACTTGAATGCAGACCTGAGAATCAAAAACTGTTGGACAAAAGCAGAGGTTATGCTAAAAAGCTTTCAACTGACACTTGCATATTACCATGGTAGCATTTTAATCTTCTAATGTCTAATCTTTCAATTAAATTTTTATTTGCTCCAAAAGCCATCAGTCGACTATCTGCCATACAAGAAACATTACATTTATATTCATCAATATATATTTGCAATGGCCAAAAAAATTAAAAAAAATTAAACAATAGATCAATGTAGCAGAGTAGTACAAATGGAGCAATTGTTGGCAGAAGACAGAGAGACATTTAGAGAATATGGAAGAAGATTTAAAACGCTCAGTTCTACAAGGAGGCGGTAAGAAGGCTGATTGTTGTATTCCTATCCGAGATAGATATTTAAGAATGTGATCATAAGGCTGAACAATTGGACAAAAAGTGCATGGAGTGAAATATTTAAATCTTGTGTTGTACCATATACTGTATTACCATATTGAGCAAATAGGTGTGAATATGAAGAGTAATCTGATATAAGTTTACTGAAAAGATATTCAATACTTATTAAATACGCACCTTCACATTCAAAGAAAACAAGAAAAGACAAGATTTTCAGAAACGATAAAAAGAATATATTCAAAAGAAATTCCAAATAGTAAGTGTCAAAGGTTGAGAAAAACATGTGAATAGCTAGGAACGACAGTGAGTTATCTGAACCATCAGCATATCTGAGTAAAATAAAAAAATAAAATAGATGTAAAGCTATTAGAGAAGTGTCAAGACGCAGTAGTACACTGTAGGCTACAAAACTGTTGACGAGTCGGATGAAGATATTCTTTAAGCTGCCGAAGAGGAATCGCAATAGACAACCTCCAAATGCTTGTCTACGAAACAGATGATCTTTAACATCCAATTGTATATGGCAAAATTAACTTTTCATGGTGAATTCAACAATTAAATTGAGTCTTCTTAAGTTGAAAATCATAATTCGTCGTTGAAAGCGAATTTATCATGGATTGCTTTTGTCAGAGTGGTGTTTGAATTTGGTTTTTTTTTCAGAAAGTTAAATTAAGTTGTTTGCTTTAATGCAATGCAGTAAGTTTAACATACTTGAAATAAACCTGGTAACACATGTTGTTATAATAGTCATGTATATGGTTACATGAATTAGGGCCTATATTTGTTTAATTCCAGAAGTAGATTTAAATATGAATGTGAATATAGGAGAGAAGACAGAAATATGAATAAATAAGAAATGTTTGACTTTGTGGCACTTGTACTGTAACTTCTTTCAATTGAACTACCAGGAAAACCAACTGCTCTCATCTGCTGACTACAGGGTTGTATGGACCAGTACACCGGGGCAACTACTTACTTGTCTGGAAAGTGCCCATTAGCCAATTGTGAACAAGCATACTTGCTCTACAGTAATTTGCCCTCATGAAAATACTGTGAAAATGAATACAGGTGTTCTAGCAGCTAATATCGACTGTCTACACCACCTCACTCATGCACATATTCAGCACAAAAAGAAATAAAACAGACAGATAGAAAGGTGGATATTCTTTTTATTCCCTTTCTGATTGTTGCTCAATTCCTATTTGGAATACTTCAGAATAACTTGACAATTCAATATATGATTAATTGCATTAAGTTTATTATCTATCGATGAGAATTTTATAGAATACAACAATTTAATCAACTCTATATGGTACAAATGTAGAAAACTTTTCAAGTTCATTTTTGTAGTAACTGCACCATCTAAATCAACTAATTCCTTTTCATTATTGGATACGTTGGAATTCTACAGTTACGCTCCAGTAAAAAACATTGGAAGTCTATTGAAATATAATGATCAAGGAGTCTATTAGTTTGTAATCAATGTACTAACGTTGTAAACAGTTTTATTATTATAGGAAAAAAAAAACATGCATTTCAAAAAGGCACTTTAGGATTTAGGAATATGTTTTTATATAATTTTTTAAATCAATAGATTTAAAAATCAAGGAGCATATGTATTGTATTCCATGATAACTGTAATTAGAACATGAACCACATATTTATGTGGTCCCAAGGTTTTTAACCCTTTGTGGTCCCCTGACAACCACCCCCTCCCCTCAATATTGATTGTTTCCTGGATTTTGATTCTTGTATAAAATAAGTGTCACATTAAATATACGGGTGTACTACACATAACTGTAAAGCTGAAAAGAATATGGCATTATTTTATATCATTCACACATATTGAAGCTCATTTACATGTAAAAAAATCTCTTCGCCTTTGACACAGAAAATAATCTTTTCTTATTGCAATATTATACATATAATTGTTAAAACTATAAAACAAAATATATAAATATAGGACAAAAGAGTTTGGAAAGCCATACACAGTGAATTAATTGCTATTTATGGAATAATAATGAACCACTTTTAAAAGTAATATAAAATTTTAATGTAGGTAACTGCTACATTTATAACTAATAATCAGATTCAAAATAAAAATTGATCGTTACATGAATATTTTTACATCACTCTTTATAAATTATTGTGTAGAATTAACATTATGAATAAAAAAATACACATTTAAATATATCAACAAATTGAAAACAAAAATCATTTTATAGCAGCTAATTCTGTTATTGCTGTTCACTCGCGATGTGCACCTTAACATTTGAGAGTTGATAAACACACCTGTTAAAAAACATACAACTGTTTCAAAGTGAATATTTATTCAAGTACTGAAGGAGCATTATGAATATCTTGCATCCATATTTGGTTCCTGGCATTGTGCATCAAGCATCAAAATTTATTTTTTCATGGAAAACATTCCGAAGGCTCTTGAATCCACCATCAGATCTGGTCTCTACAATGGCTCAGCTCAAGTCACATTTATTCAAGTTAAAACCTCATTGAAACTGCCTGAGGAAAATGAATAATAATATCCCTTGCACTCGTAAAGGCAGTATGTGCCGACAGATAGCATCCAGATGCATGTAAGCACCACTCCTAAATATCCTTCACTGAAAAGCTGCATGCTGGACATCAACGCTGCAGCATAAAACATGATGTCCGACTGACGTGCAGTGTGGCGCCATCATGTGTCAATTTCATCCAGTCCTAAGCTGTTCTCCTCACTTGTGTTTGTAACATTATCAGAAGTCTCGGTATCATCCATGCTTGATTCAGGCTTTGATGTATCCAAATCTTTACCGACATTCTCAATATCGGCTTCATTTTCATCATTTTTGCCTTTTTCTTCCTCCTCCTCCGTACTTAATTGTTCAAAGAGAGCAGTTGCTTCAGCCAGTGTGTCCTGCGCACTCATCGTCCTTTGGAATGTTTTACCTGAAGATGATTCATTTGAGGTATGCTGTGGAGTCCATGAATGCTCGTTCATCTAAATTAATAAAATGACAAGTCTCTATGAGTGAGTGAAAGATGCAATAGTGTAACACCTACTGTACACCCTTCTGAGGGGCCCAGAGCTCAAATTCACATTAACCGGCATTTTTTTCCAGTAACATGCTGCCCCAAATGGGCACACCTTAATGAGCAGAACATGAAAAGCGCATTAAAATATTGCATCCTTCTTCAATATGCCACTGGAAAGAAAATGATGATAATCAAAAAATTAATGTGAATATGGTAGTAAGAAGGTATTTCGATTTGAGCTTGCATCAGGAAAGTATATGAGTGATGTTTTGCCCTACCTGACGTGTTTACGTACCAAATACTCGGTACGTTCCTAAATACTTGCGAAAAAAATTTGCAAGCTATTCGGGTGGAAAGTATTTCGGAACATACAAAGTATTCGGTACGTGAACACGTCAGGTATGGCAAAACATCAATCCTATGATATTTTCCCGACGCAAACTCAAATTGAAATAGCACTTGCAGTACCTGCAGCTAAATGGAGATCCGATTCAACACTAGTAACTACGCGCAAGCTTTGTAGTCCAGCGGTTATGGCGCCAGACTAGTTATCTGGAGGTCGTAGGTTCGATTCCCACCTGAATCACTTGCACATTTTTTCGCAAGTATTTGGGAAAGTGCTGAGTATCACTCCTAGTATAAAGGTACTGTACATAGAATAATGATGAATAAGGTCATTTTTGGTAACAATACATTAGTCACACTTCTGCAACAATACTGTTACAAGATAAGGCTTCACGACAATATGTTGTTATTACCTTTCTCTTAAGCCAGATGATAGCCCATTGCCATTTGGCCATTATTGATACAAGGTAGTCCTTAGCAACTGGACACTTGTTAGCTAAAGTTACAAGGAACTTGATACATTGGTAACTACGCCGACTGTCAGTCACATTACATTTCTGAATAATATCTGTAAAGAAAAAGGATATTTGATTGAATCTGAATCAAAATTTATAATCATCTTTCTAACATTGATGCAGTTGAAATCTTTCTTGGCACACTGTAGGGCAAAATTGCTCTTATTTATTATGATTTATCATGCATTGTGTAAACTGTAACATAAACAAGAGTATATACAAGAAGAAATTAAAGGATGTTATTACCGAGAAATGAGGGAAAAGTCATCATATATTGCATATAATATGCACCCCAAATATACATATACCTGTAGCTTTGCGTCATTCTGTCAAGCAACATATTTGTGATACCAATTTTATATTCATGCAAACATGGATCCACAACAAAAATATACAGAAGTACAGCAAACTTATTCCACTATTCTTGTACTACCTAGTATGAATTATCCATGTAATTACAACATTAGTCTTTTTCTTACCTAATAAACCATCGCTGTCATGACCTTCGACACAGAGTTTTAATCTGTGCAACTGTAGTGGATCTTTCAGTTGAAGTAGTTTTAATAATAAGTGACACATTGACTTCAGATCATGTGCGGGTGCTGTTATGATTTGATACTGCGAGAGAGAGAGATAGTCATTAATAAACATATATATATATATATATATATATATATTTAATGCACAGCAGAGGGTGTATCATAAATATCATTGGTTGTTTCATGCTAATGAATGTTCCCATTAAGCCCCACCCGATGCATTTTGATTCTAAGGTCCGACACAAAGACAGTGTAATGTACACAAACACGTGTGATGTTGGGACAAGTGCAAATCCATGGCACTGTTCTGATTCGTTACTTGTTATGGAAAGGTCCACTGTGACATCAAACATGTTAAAACAACGAAAAGACGTTTGATTACTATTTATACTTCCAGTCACCATAAAGCTTTCATGGTCCAGATGTATGACATTCACCATGTAACTTTTTCATACTTGCTCAGAATGCTATGTAACATAATTATTCAAAAAAATATAACATAATTTAAAAAAAAAATATACTAGATGCAAGCAGGGGGCCCAAGTTGTTCTTCCAGTTTGTGGGAGAACATCTAACTTTTATTTTCCCGCTCAGGCTGATACCCACAGCCAGCTATCTTCTGGAAGACAATTCACAATCCAGTAGTAAACACAATTAATATGAATTTGCAGTAATGCAGCAGGCCATCTCAATTTCCGGAAGACTTGCACGATTTGTGTCGACAAGTACAAAATAAGTGGAGTAAAACTTGAGTACCTGGATTGCTTCGAGTACATCTTGACTGAAGACTTGATTGCAGTAGCAGCAGTGTAGCAGCATATCAGTGATGTCACTAGTGCTTCCTTGAGTCATCTCTCGGCACGCAGCTACAGCCTGAATGAGGAACCACCATCACATTAACATTCCACTTAATCACTTATTTTTTATTCATAATTTATTTAACCACGAAAAATTACATTCAATGGAGAAAAATTAAAAACCAAAAAGAAACCCCTTCAATTCAAGACTGCCTTTTGGACCTGAAAATTTGGGGTTCAGTCTTCAATTAGAGGGTTAACTTTGTGTAAAAAAATTGAAAATTGTTAATTGGCACTTTGAAAAAGTGGTTTAGAAATTAGAGGGTTCTCGAATTGGAGCGTACACTGTGTATAGTTATTAACAGGTGTCCTGGACAAAATGTAAAAAACAATTGTAACTGAAAGAATGGATGGGAAGTATGGAAAAATTAGGACACAAGTTCAAAAATGTGATTACAGATCTTGAAAATAAGTAAAATTAAAGTATGACTTTTGTTTCATAAGAAACAAAAGGAAAGGTCTCATGAGAAAGAATAAGGAAAGAAAGATATGGTAACATGAGAAAGAAAAGAGATAATAAAGATAAGGAAACATAAGAAAGACAATAGAAAGGAAAAGAACAGGAAACTTAAGAAATATAATGGAAAGAAATGGATAAGGAAACAAAGAAAGAAAATGAAAGAAATGAAAATGTCACATAAGAAAGAACAAGGAAAGAAAGTTAAGGGAACATGAGAAAGAAAAGAGAAAGAAAAGATAAGGAAACATAAGAAAGACAAAGAAAAGGAAAAGAACAGGAAACTTAAAAAATATAATGGAAAGAAATGGATAAGGAAACAAGGAAAGAAAGTTAAGGGAACATGAGAAAGCAAAGAGAAAGAAAGATAAGAAAACATAAGAAAGAAAAGGAAAAGAACAAGAAACTTAAAAAATATAATGAAAAGGAATGGATAAGGAAACATAAGAAAGAAAAGAAAAGGTTATATGAGAAAGAACAAGAAAAGAAAGATCTGACATGAGAAAGGAAAGACAAAGAAAGGCCAAGAAACTGAAAAGAACAGGAGAATTAAGAAAGACAATGAAAAGGAATAGATAAGGAAACATAAGAAAGAAAAAATGAAAAGAAAAGAAAAGGTCACATGAGGAAGATCTGAGAAAAAAAAAACAATTATATTATTTAAGGAAACAAGGAATACATCTGAATTTTTGGTAACATAAAGAAAAGGAAAGATAAGAAAAGGGAACATAAGATGAAATGAAATTAAATGTGAAAAAACTGACAAGGTAATTTTTGATATTTTATTTCTTGTGCTGCTTAATTTTCTTTAAAAAATTAAATAAAATAAAAATTAACATGTTTTCACTTTGTTCTTTGTGATCTGTTTGTTCTCTTCCTGTTGTTTTGACACTGCGCATCTTTAATGTTGAAAGATTAGCATAATTTCAATCGTGGTTATTACAGCACTTTAAAACAGAATGTAAAAAAGAATGATTATTAGTTTTTCTTGTTAAATAATCTGTAGTAGCCTCACCTCTCTGATGTACCTGCGTCCTTGTGCAGCAAACAAGATACTCTTTACATCCTCAGGCGTTTGTAAAAGGGTGTCTAAATCATGGATGTCGGGAATATTTGGAGGCTTGTCTTCTGGGGTCTCTTCTGCAAGGACAACAAAACCATCAATACAGGTGTGTTTGATATTTCGTTTTAATTTGAACATACATCATGAACAAAAATAATAAGGATTGCCAAAAAATGTGGAATGGAGAACCAGCTTAATTTATTGGATGGTTTGTTCCTTGCTTGCCTTCCACAGGGTACTGTATTCAAGTAGATACACTTCAGAGTTTACAAGTAAATGTTATGTTAGGCACCAGTTGATAGGTGTACAATTTTGAAGCTTTAGATTTACCCTCACCTCCCAATAAATGACATTGCAGTATATTAATAATACATTTGGAGTTTCTTATCCTACTTACCTACTGATCTGAACTGAGAAACATCACAATGAAGAACCATGTTTGCCAAGGTTGTGTGAAGTGACACAAAGTCCCTGGTGTGGGATGACGTCCAACGCCGACTATTCAAGTCCTGCTTGCCAAAAAATACAATCATTTCAAACATACACAACAAAAGAAATATCTAATAGTTATAGTAATAGCAATCTTTAAAACGCAAGTCAGACAGATGATAATCCTAATCACAAAGATGAATACAATGTTGATAATGATGTTGATAATTATGATTATTTTGATAAGCAAAACTTGATAAATATTATTAACCGTCACCATAAAAGAGAATAGATAAAATAGGATGACGTCTGACCTGGTTGGGGGTTGGTTGACCAATTAAGAAGGTCATCAGTCTTCTATAGGCTCCCCTCTCAAACAGATGAACACAGCAGTTGACACCCTAGCAAGCACAAAAAAAGCTAAGGAAGTCTCAAAATAAACTTGTATTTTGATTGAAAAAACTGTAAATTTAGGCCTAAAAAAATTATTTGTTTGCCCTTTAATTCTGAAAATTTTATAGGAGGGCTGGCGCAAAAGTTTCTTTTTTTAGTTTTTTTTTTTCTCCTGTCACCAAAATTAACGTAATAAATCGCAATGCTTGCAATTAATCCTGTCTCACTATTCTTTTTTCAAAAGGGTATTCATCAGACTGAATAAAATTAAACCCATAATCAATATTTTGTAATGAATTTAGGCCTAGAATGGCAATATCTTACATCAGACACCGACTTTAGACAACTTTCATGTGCAAAATAGAGAAGAATAATGATCACTTTCTTAAATTTGTGACCAAAAAATTTAAAAGAAAAACCTTTTTTAAAAAGGCTGCCCTTATTTTTCAGTGAGGTAGGGGTGGGCACTGGAGGGCAAACAAAAATTTTACTTTTTAGACCTTATATCAAGGCGGAAATTTGATGCGAAAGAGAAAGCGGCGATACTTACTGCATTTAAGTACGTGCTAAGAAGCAAGAAATACTGAGCACAATTGCGACAATAACTAGCAACATCTTTGTCAAGGAGACACAGAAGGTGCTCTATTAAGCCATTGAGCTCTGGGATCGAAGACATCGTTGCACTTGAGTTATGGTTGATAAAGTACCTTAAGGCTGTCTCTACTATGTGCGTAAATGAATACCGGACCTCTGACGACGGACATTCTAACAAATACTGCCTTTATTTCAGGAAACAAAAATCAATAATTGTCTGAAAGTTAACCCCAATTTCATTAAGATATTTAACATGTATTTATGAAATTTGTAATTTATTATCATTATTTGAGGAGCACAGAAAATAATGTGCTTTGAATGTACATAATGCTGAATCCCTAGGCACTGAACAAATAACTAAAATGAGCTAATTAAGAATCTCATGAAAATTTTGGTTATTTTAGTACACACTAAAATTGAGCTACTATTAATGATTAGTGTAAAACAATTTAACAGAGCAACTCCTACATTGGGAAACAATAGAAGACCAGAAACTGGAGCT